TGAAGTCTCTGGGTTCATCAAACTTTGAGGTAGCTATCCAGAGGAGATGAATACGTGTCCTGGGTAGTATAGTGTTAGTATCTCCGCCTGTCATCGAGAGACCGTGGTTCGATTCCCCCACTGAGTTTTCCAAACTTGTTTGAATAATTAGTTTAACTTTAAATGTAATGCATGCCAACCTACTTGTATAGGTTCAGCAACAATTCCATCCGCACCAGTTGCTTTACTGATTTTAAGCGGAGTTGTTAACATACAGCACTTCTTCAAAATCAGGCTCTTCAATATTTGGTTCCCATGTTAGTATCTCTTCCTGTAGATAAGTATTTAGTGGAATTTAACAGTTAAAAAATCGACAAAGTATTCCTTCCTTCTGTTAAATATTTCTTCAGTTTTATTGATTGTGTTCCTATCGTGATCTTTTAAAACATATATTTTGTGCTGACGCCATCGTTTAACAGACTTCAGTTCTTTAGAAAAACTTTCTGGATTTATTGTTCTGATGGTTAGCTTCCATATCCATGACAATATTGTTCACGTATTCTTGCTTTTGATGCCTAACAACTATTGTAGCCTTTTAACAATATGTTCTATATTATTCTTCATTTCGTATCTAATCTTTCTAATTTCGTTATTGTAAATTTGATCTCTAGTTGTAACTCTGACAGTTTTGATAAGACTTACTCATCTTTTCAATTATTTTGGACTCTCCTGTTGTAACAAGGGTCTGTGTTTGACAACATCAGAGTAATGTCGATAAGGGAAAAAATTTCTTATGAGATATTATTTTGTAGACAAATGTATCTTTCTGTGTATCTGTCTGGTGGTATCAGCTGTCGCTTGATGTGACAAAACCTTTCCAACAGTGCCCCGACATGGCATCGCGCTCTGCATGGGAGAGGGGCAGAATCCCCGTGCTATTGATTTTGTAGTTGCTTCTAAAGGCACAGCCGTGGCATCGGCGGTCACTTGGCTGCACAAACGTCCTACAGTCAGGCGACAGTCAGGACACAAAGGTGGGTATATTGCACCTGCTGGTCATTTGGTTGTGGTAAGGTGTTGTGTCTGTGTCCGGAGATTTAGTATTCAGTCATCAAGATTGGTGTTTGTACTGTCAGTGTTTGGTCATAAAGTAGTTAGACATAAAAGTCAGTTTGCATGTCTGAATCCGGTGATTTAGTTAGCTTTCTGTCATCAAGGTTGGTATATGCACCTGTCAGTGTTTGGTCATAAAGAAGTTATACATAAAAGTCAGTTTGCATGTCTGTATCCGGTGATTTTGTATTCAGTCATCAAGGTTGGTGTATGTGCCTGTCAGTATTTGCATAAACTAGTTAGGCATAACAGTCAGTTTGCGTGACTGTATCCCAGTGATTTAGTAGTCATATACCAATGTGGGTGTGTGTGCCTGTCAGTTATTCGTCAAGTGATAATTAGACATAGACGTGAGTTTGTGTGACTGTATCAAGTGATTTATCGGTCGGATATATATATATATATAAATGAGTTTATATGCAAGGTAAAAACCAAACAGTGAAACATTCCCGATGCTGGTTCTACAACACCTTGTAAAGGATCCATGAACCGTGAAATAATATCTCTATGTGAGCACGAAATTGAAGAAGTCAATAATAGCTTTTTAAAGGTTCATTAGTTTATCTATAGTTTTTTTTTTTTTTTTAAGCATACGATTTCCGAGACGAATTCGGCAAGCTGTTTGCCTAGTGCCCTGAAAGGTTGTTGAGAAAAGATATAAAATCGAACGAAAAGTATGCTTTACAATATAACAAATACAAACGAAACGTGAACTTTGCGGCTATGGAGCCTTTATCAGCACATACAAATCAAACAATACCACACAAAACACATTGGTTCATTTCAGTGCTGCGAGTTTAGGTTCACAAATGCAGTTTTTTTTAAACCAAGATTCCCAGGGATTGTCGCAAAAACTACGGAGTTCTCGCTCTGTGTGATGCTCTCTGCAAACTACTAGCCATACAGCGGAGGGAACAGGCCTATATGGGTTCACACCTGATGCAATAAACTTGGCCCCTCAACTGTACCTTTAACTTCTATGCCCATTCAACTAAAAATCTATTTGTTAACCAGTAATGATGTAGAATTACCGGAACATTTTTAACTGTTGGGAGGTTATAGTTATATCTATACAATTAACAAGCTGTTTATCAACTCGGTAACTAATGGTATAGGATAAACAAAACATCTAAACATGAACATAAACATGATTCGAGTCGTAAACATGATTCGACATACATTTTTCGCACACCACAACATCAGATGCGATGATTACCATATTGGAAGTTTGTCCGGTCTCTTCCAAAACAAATGGCTTATGCCGCCCCCTTTCCCCCTTTATTTTGTTTTCCATTACTGGCAGATGCATGCTACTTTGGCTACCTCTGCGCCTTCAAATGTCACATCCTGTATAGGCAACCAACAGGACAGACAACCTCCAAGGAAGGGACACCCATAATGCTAGCAAATTTGTACATCCTACACTGGCAGGGATATATAGATGAATGTAACATGATTCGACGCCCAAATTTTCTTCAAAACTGATATTGGCTCCCATGACAACCCAGCGAAATGTACTGGAAAGTAAAGGTGGTAGGCGTGATGATGCCCCCCACCCGCCTTACCCTACACCCATAGCCTCTAATCAAGTGCCAGCTTTTCTCTAAAAATATAGGTCTTTGCACTAAAAGCCCGTTGCGTTAATAGCGCTAAAATATTCATTTACTTGCTTACTATTTAGATGCGACATTGACGGAGACCAGATAATGAAATATTAGAACAGGAAATATCACTAACATACACCTATTAATATAGATAGGATGCTGTCGTGGTGTGGAGGCTAGAGGCTCGCCTGTGGATCCGAAATCAGTGGGTTCAAATACCAAAGGAGCTCGACATTGGCTCGTAGGTCCACCCAGCCTTAAAAAGGTACCACGTAGAATGTCGGAAAGTTAGGGCGGCCAGCGTAATATTGACCATAGCACCCACCGAATTTGCTTGTAGGTGTGGAAAAGGGTCTGTCACTTTTACACCTATTAGTGTGTCCTAAAGGTAAAGTCGGGAGATGTGATGCAGCGAGACTCCTATCGACTGCGCTAACGCGGCCCTCAGTAGTGTGTCCTACTGTGCAGGGAAGGATGGACTGTTTAAATTTACAAGATGCGCTACAGACGTAGATCACACAATTAAATATTTATTTAGGAAACTAACGATTTCTGCAGGTTTCAATAGGTTTCTTCTTCTTCCTCTTCTTCTTCTTCTTCTTCTTCTTCTTCTTCTTCTTCTTCTTCTTCTTCTTTTTCTTCTTCTTCTTCTTCTTCTTCTTCTTCTTCTTCTTCTTCTTCTTCTTCTTCTTCTTCTTCTTCTTCTTCTTCTTCTTCTTCTTCTTCTTCTTCTTCTTCTTCTTCTTCTTCTTCTTCTTCTTCTTCTTCTTCTTCTTCTTCTTCTTCTTCTTCTTCTTCTTCTTCTTCTTCTTCTTCTTCTTCTTCTTCTTCTTCTTCTTCTTCTTCTTCTCTTCTTCTTCTTCTTCTTCTTCTTCTTCTTCTTCTTCTTCTTCTTCTTCTTCTTCTTCTTCTTCTTCTTCTTCTTCTTCTTCTTCTTCTTCTTCTTCTTCTTCTTCTTCTTCTTCTTCTTCTTCTTCTTCTTCTTCTTCTTCTTCTTCTTCTTCTTCTTCTTCTTCTTCTTCTTCTTCTTCTTCTTCTTCTTCTTCTTCTTCTTCTTCTTCTTCTTCTTCTTCTTCTTCTTCTTCTTCTTCTTCTTCTTCTTCTTCTTCTTCTTCTTCTTCTTCTTCTTCTTCTTCTTCTTCTTCTTCTTCTTCTTCTTCTTCTTCTTCTGCTTCTTCTTCTTCTTCATCATCGTCATCATCTTTTTCTTCTTCCCCCTACTCTCAGAAAAATGATATATAAAAATAGATTTGATAAGCTGGACGAAAGGATATGCTTTATTTGCAGATGAAAGACAGAAAAACGAAGAAAAATAGACTACCGTGATTTTTATTATGTAACACGCTGTGCCGAAAGCTGAATTATTTTGGCCACACTGAACTCACAGTGTCCTCGAGAGAGGGGGAACAAAACGGCTATGGAGGCTACCTTTTTCCGGAAAAGAGACCAGTCTCCGCGAAAGTGGTTACAAGACACTGAAGATGCGTTGACTAAAAAAGCACATAGGGCTGTAGAGTTGGCTAAAGGAAAAAAAAAGACTTTCAGGCGTGCCATGATGAGAGAGACGTTCTATGAAGATTCTGCTGATTGGTAAAGATGATGGTAACCATTTAAAGTGCCTAACTACAACGATGTGTGGAAGCAATATGTAATTCTAATGTCAAATCGGTATTTTGTATAGAGCAGAAACAAGGAGACATACTAAGGCAATTACTAAAAACTACAGAGATTCATTAACTGGTGCCTGAGCAGAATATAGGGAATTAAATGGTATGATAGAATCACTAATGTAGAGCTTTGGGAGAAAACTAAGCAAGCTCCAGTGAACCAAGAGATGAAGACGCTGGTGTTAGATAGGACACACATTGGGAAAACCGGAGAATAATATAAATAGAATGGAACCCACAGTGGAATATGAATAAATGAAGGCCAAAAAAAAAAAAAACGTATGAAGAAGGGAGCTGAAGAATGAAGTTAGAAGAAGAGGACATGGGGAGAGCTGCATGCGATAGTAAAAGATAGAACGACTTGGAGTGAGTTGGTTGAGGGCCTATGCTCCATTGGGGGCTAGAAAGGCAGAAGCAGAAGAAGAAGAAGAAGAAGAAGAAGAAGAAGAAGAAGAAGAAGAAGAAGAAGAAGAAGAAGAAGAAGAAGAAGAAGAAGAAGAAGAAGAAGAAGAAGAAGAAGAAGAAGAAGAAGAAGAAGAAGAAGAAGAAGAAGAAGAAGAAGAAGAAGAAGAAGAAGAAGAAGAAGAACTACAACGATACTTCTATTCATCTTTTATTTTTTCTTGAAGTTCACAAAATGCAGACAGGCGCAACCCATCCCATTGTGTTGACAATGAGGTGCCTAGCTCTCACGATCGTCCTAACTACAAGCAACCTTGTGTCGGCTTCGCCTTTGAGCAGGAACCAGCTTTTCACCACCTGCTGGGGCTGGGGTGCTAGCTGCACCATGCACAGTGCTGTGAATAGAGCTTTTCCGCCCATGGTCAGCGGCCACTCACAGCGCCCTGAGCCGAGCGTTGGCAGAAATCCTGCAGGGATACCCAGCATGGTCACATCTGGTAAGTATTTCGTTTCCACTTCAATGTACAATGTGATTAAACAACCAGGCTTACCAGGGAATGAACGCAAACGCGCACTGAAACAACTGGGCGAGGTTGCTGGCTCTGGACACAACGAAACGTCGTGGGGGACTGTCGCGCGCCCACGTGGGTAAATACACTGATATAGTGAGGGTGTGGGTTTGAACCTTAACAATGCCCACCCACGTGAGAAACTGGACTATTATCTAAGCTATGTTGATCCTAGACAGTCCTGGATAGCCAAGAAAACAGCGAGTGGCTGGTTCCATGAAATGAAAGTTGCTGTACTTGTATCCACAGGAGTAGGAGAAGGGATAGATAGATATCTGGATACACCCACTGTGATATAATCCAGGTGCTCATTTAACCCCTCCGACTGCTCTCCTCTCCTGGCATTACTTAAAAGCCCCCATCAAGTGATTTAAATATTTGTTAGCTGAAGTAAACTAATATGCACAAAGACACTTGAACCTAAGTACACAATTTACTCAACTATGTTGTAACAACATCAAAAAGATTTATTTAATAAATCTTACTAAAATAAAATGAACTAGTTTAGGCTAGTAGAGTTGGGATGATGTTATAGATGACATTAAAGTTGTACATAACTTAGCTCGTCAGGACAGTTCTCGGCTTGAGACCCTGTCTATTCTTTCCCCGTTTTTCGTCCTCACTGCTTCAAGCAGGTCGTTACACTCAGACGGTCAGCAATGAATGGATGCTTACTAGTCCCTGCCCAATGTGGGAACTGGAGAATGAAGAAACAAGCGCATATTTGTAGTATCTGCTCTAGATGTACACTAAGCATGTATATTATAATAACATCAAGCATGTTTATTTAAATAAAACATTTCATCTCTCCCTCATGCTCACATTCACTCCTGTCCAATTTGGAAGGGCTTATGTCTCACATTTTAACTGTTACATCTTCTGCCTTCCTCTACACGTCCTGTAATGATAGTCAAGTCTTCTACGTCAGGTGCCATCTCTCGTACAGACTCAAAATGACAATCAGTCAGGCAGAACCAGTTCTGGAATCTATGCTTGGAACAATCGACGCGCCCAGAAAGCTAACAATATTTCTGAGGCGAATCAAATACCAAATCTCAAGGATTTTCTCTCCGGGATCAATCTCCGCATTTGCCTCCCGAGAGTTAAACACATTTCAGTGTGTTAGCTGTATGTAATACAGATTCACATTAACCACACGTGACAAGATTGCCAAAGTTATCTTCACGCTTGTGATTTCAAAAACATGATAGTTCATTAAATTTCAATGGTAACATCAACATTTAAGTTTTACAACATTGAAACACATGTGCACGAAAGAACATTCATGACACTATCAAATAGGATATAAAGCAACGTGACAGTGCCCTACGAGAATGAAGAAATGTCCGCCTAGGAGTACTACAAAGTGATGAAGACACACTTGAGCAAAAAGACAGTTAGATCTCTATCATAAAATATAGATTTGAACCTAATTTCGATCTTACCTGGAAAATGAAACCACGATGCCAAAAGTTCTGTCTCAAGCTTAGGTTAAGCCCAACAGATGGCATGTGCTGGACAGGATCTCATTTACCAGACCTAGAGTTCACCCCTTTATAACTTGTATCAAGCTCCTCCTACATTACGCCTAAAATCATTCTCATTCAAGGATGTCACAGCTCCTCCCCGTGGGTTTATATTCACTGTCAGTCAGTGACTGTACAACAATTGTTTGAATTCCCACGGTCACATTCTACAGGTTCAATTAAGCTGGTCAAAGCTAATAGGCCAAGTCACACCTCCAGTCTACTTCACCTGTCATCACAATACAATCAGACTTTGTCAATTCTTCTGCCAACACTTTCAGCCCACTGTGTCAATATTGACGATCTGACCGGCACTCCAGTTTAGGTAACGTCAGGGGGAATTAAACACAATTAGCCGGAGTTATCTACTCCTAATGGTCTGGCTAGGAGATAAATATCTGACACCAACAAATGGTGTGCAAATCTCCAGTCAGTAAGTCTGCTTGGTCAGTCTTATCTCTGTACCTTAACACTCAACATCTGGGGAAAAGTTTTAGTGTTTGATATGACCAACAGTCCAGGAGAATTAAAGGTTTGATGTGGTCGTCTTACTTAGATTAAGGATGTATCGAAATCCCTTTTTTCCTGTATACTTTCAAAATACAAAGAAATAAAAGTAGGTTGAGGAAAGACATTCTGGAGTCACCGAGCGTATTGTCACAGGGACGGGCCTCGGTGAGCTGGTCGGGGTGTCTAGTGGAAAAGAATGTCTTATCCCTTAAAGTTCATTGTGTCTGAATTGTCTGCTAGTGTCCCTCTGCAACCTGCCAACAAAGTTCAACATGTGTCCGGTAAACCAAACGTAAGCTTGTCACTTAGTCGTCCAGGTAAGCTGACTGCTCTAATTATGCTACCGCAACGACTTCGTGTCTCACAGTACCTTTCGCAGTCACCAATTCGTCTTGCCCCTGTCCGATAACATCTGGTAATACGTGCAGCAGGAGAAAATCAACCCCGAGCTTGGTGAACTCAGGTGGGACCACTCTCTGAAAATATCTAGGAGCTCGTGAGCCGAAACATTTGTCGACGAGAGATTACTTCTACTGACGATTGGTAGACTACTGCTGTACATGCTCCCCTGTGGAGCTTCTTCTTATATATATGTTTCATTCCTACCTTACTTTTGTAAATGTAGCCGACAGCGTTCGCATTCCATTTCAGAATCGACATTTTTTCTACATTATGGATGGAGTCTTCGTTCATAGTGCCGACACCTCTCCTCGTCAATTTTTTTGGCGGGTGGGGGGGGGGGGGGATAATTATAATTTCAATAAGTAATTTTACGTTCAGTAGTTTACCGCTCTCTTAGCTTTCGCAATGCAACGCCTAAGCCACAGACGCCTACCAGACACAGAGCAAGGGCGTCTGCCTGAAAATTTACTTACACTGAGATCACATCTCAATCTAAAAAACAGACCATAAGGACCTGAAAGCTTGACACAGTGAGTCCAAAGAATGTTAGCTTGATGGCAGACCAACTGAGCATGCCCAGATACCTGGTTCAGCCAAAAAGAAAGTTATAATTTGGGAAATTCCTAAAGGCCACACCAATATTGGATAACTAACATGGGGGAAGGATTACTAGAGCAGGGTAACAGTTCGTTTATTGACTGCTGACTGGAGCGTCGCACAAAAAAGGAACTCATTAGTTTAAGTGACCACTGCCAAGGATCGACAGCATACCTGCACTTATAGAGTGCAAGCGACGGAGCATTAAAGTTCAACGCTCAACACATATGAAAGAAAATTCATTGATCACCACAACCACAACCTTATCAGAGCTGGGAGAGAAATAATCAGCCTGTAGCTAGAGCGTACTAATGTACATGCGAACGGAAGGCTTTCAAGACCGGAGCTGACCAAGAAAGAGATTGGTGGAGGGAGTAGAAAAGACACCAAAGAAGCGCAGTATGACATTAAAAGAAGCTACGCAATTAGCAAAAGACAGGAAACTACACTGCTAGGCATTACTGCATAATTGTAGACAAAGGTAGAAGAAGACAGCTGCCACCACCGTTATCGTCATCATCATCGTTATCATTGTCTTGGCAGAACTTCATGTCAACAGGAAACAACCTCCGATAAATGGCTATTTCTCCAATTACCTATTCTCCTACCATAGGCGTCTCTGACTTGTTTCTGTTTTCATAACGGTCGACCCCTGCCTCTTCTTCTATGAACCTTTTCTTGTTAAGCCACACAAACACTTAATTCGGCCGAATATTTATATTTGTTGAGATTGGTATTTAAATCCATAAAAATGTATTAACACATTAGCGCACAACAGGCTTTACGAATTGTAATTGCTCGCAAAGGCCTTTCTCTAAATCAAATGCAGGAGGAGAAATCAACCGTCACATGTCACCCTAAAACAGTGACCTTCAACCTTTTTATTCAGGTCGCTGTTCCTTTTGAATATATGGCAAGACCCCCAAGTGTCACTTGAGTATATGACAAGACCCACAAGTTTCACTTGAGTATATGACAATACCCTCAAGTCTCACTTGAGTATATGACAAGACCCCAAGTCTCACTTGAGTATATGACAAGACCCCCAAGTCCCCCTTGAGTATATGACAACACCCCCAGGTCTCACTTGAGTATATGACAAGACCCCCAAGTCTCACTTGGGTATATGACAAGACCCCCAAGTCTCACTTGGGTATATGACAAGACCCCCAAGTCTCACTTGAGTATATGACAAGACCCCAAGTCTCACTTGAGTATATGACTAGACCCCCAAACCCCTCTTGAGTATATAACAAGACCCCCAAGTCTCACTTGAGTATATGACAAGACCACCAAGTCTCCCTTGAGTATATGACAAGACCCACAAGTCTCACTTGAGTATATGACAAGACCCCAAGTCTCACTTGAGTATATGACAAGACCCCAAGTCTCACTTGAGTATATGACTAGACCCCCAAACCTCTCTTGAGTATATGACAAGACCTCCAAGTCCCCCTTGAGTATATGACAAGACCTCCATGTCCCCCTTGAGTATATGGCAAGACTCCAAGTCTCACTTGAGTATATGACAAGACCCCAAGTCTCACTTGAGTATATGACTAGACCCCCAAACCCCTCTTGAGTATATGACAAGACCTCCAAGTCCCCCTTGAGTATATGACAAGACCTCCATGTCCCCCTTGAGTATATGACAAGACCCCCAAGTCCCCCTTGAGTATATGGCAAGACCCCAAGTCCCCCTTGAGTATATGGCAAGACCCCAAGTCTCACTTGAGTATATGACAAGACCCCAAGTCTCACTTGAGTATATGACAAGACCCCAAGTCTCACTTGAGTATATGACAAGACCCCAAAGTCCCCCTTGAGTATATGACAAGACCCCAAGTCCCCCTTGAGTATATGACAATACTTCCATGTCCCCCTTGAGTATATGACAATACTTCCAAGTCCCCCTTGAGTATATGACAAGACCCCAAGTCCCCCTTGAGTATATGACAAGACCCCAAGTCCCCCTTGAGTATATGACAAGACCCCAAGTCCCCCTTGAGTATATGACAAGACATCCAAGTCCCCCTTGAGTATATGGCAAGACCCTGCTGCCTGCCTCCTTGAGTATATGACAAGACCCCCATGTCACCCTTAAGTATATGACAAGACCCCCATGTCGTCCTTGAATATATGACAAGACCCCAAGTCCTCCTTGAGTATATTGTAAGGAGCCCCCCCCCCCCTTTTAAGTCCCCCTTGAGAATATTGCAAGATCCCCAAGTCCCCTTTGAGTATATGGCAAGACCCCCACGCCTTCCCTCCCCCGAGTATATGACAAGATCCCTACGCCTCCTTGAGTACATTGCAAGACACCCCAATCTTCACCAACTTACAAAAAAAAATTCAAGTAACAGATGGTGAGCCTGTGAGGCCAAAGAGACATTTATAAACAAAAAGCATGTATTGATTTAACATCCAAAGAAAGCAGTAGAAAGTCGAAGGACACACTAGACAACATGAAAATAGACAGTTATAGTGTCTATGCGGGAATGGAACCTGTCATCTCCAAAGGAAGAGAGCGCCTCTCTGCAGAGACAAGTGTACTACGATGCACGACCAATTCGGCACTCCTCAAAAACGGTATCTTGTGTCTTCATTAGCCCTGTCCCCAGCTATAGAATACGGACACAATTCGTCTGAAACCACGAAAATCGCACCATAGAGTACACCATCAAAGCTCTGTCGTTTTTTGGTTGACCATGTTCTTAGTGCACTTGTATGCATGGCGAGGCGCAGACGCTGTCTGGAGGTGACTGGTTCAATTCCCGGCACGGTGACTATAGCTTTCGATTTTTTTTTTGTCTAGTGTGTTCTTCTATCTATCTACTTCTTTCTATAAGTGCCGATCAATAAACTTTCTGTTACTTGATTAATTCATATTATTTAAAGGTGAAGGTGCGATGCACGTCATGGACATCAGGCATTCATCATTCATTCATTCGTTATTGTCCTGTTGTGCCATTAAATGCACCGTAGGGCTTGCAGTCGATTCCTCAATTACATTCAGTCGTGTAAAATCAACTCAATATAACGGATGGAACCCAGTTCAGCAATGTTGGCCTCACTCATCAATGTTGGCTTTAGGTTTCTTTTGGGCTTCCTCACCTTCTTGATCCCTTTATTTCCCATTTTAATACCTGTTTGATGATTCTCTGCTGGTTTATTCTCATGATGTGTTCCATGTAGCGTCATCTTCTCTGTCTTATGACTCTTGATACTAGTGGTTGCTAAGACGTTTCTTTTATTTCTTCACTCATTTTGAATTCAGCCAATGGACACCAAAGCTTTCGATATTTATGTTGTCTAGATTGAACTTCTGACTTTTTAAATTAAATGATTAGAAGCAGGTTTCTCTCATGACAGCGTAACGTTCTTTCCGCGCGGTCAACCTCTCCTGGCTAATTAGTATGTGTGTGTGTGTTTTTGTTTTTCAGGTTTTTTAACAACGGATCAACATCATTGCACACGGGTGTAACCCATTAGTGCTCCATTCTTTTTCTAACCCAAATACTAGTCTAAAGAAGCTCAGCACAGTGCACAGGCTCTGTGGCACCGGCGAGGCTCCTGAAATACTTTGGGTAGATTTTTAACTCCAAATTTTGCCCGGTCAGCGCCGTCAGGCTACTTTATTTTTTCTCCAACTGCCAGTAGATTATTACGTGCGCGACAATGCACACAGACGTCTGATCTCATTACCCAGAGACCAGGGAAAATTACTAGAGGTCCAAGTCCACGTGAAAAAATCCCAGCCCTTACCGGGGATTGAACCCGAAACTGCTAGCACTCGAGGCGGACACCATACCTTGAGACCACGCAGCCCCCTGGCTAATTAGTAAAGAAACCCATAATTCCCCCCCCCCCCATATGTAGGTGGTATGACGTTTAACAGAAGTCAGTTACAAATCTCTCCAGTGCGAGACGTTTCCAGAAAGGCAATAGTTCCACTCAGCTTCTAGGATTGACAAAGATGAGACCCTGACAGCTATAATTCGTTCTTATTTCCATCCTGGTATTATCATCTTAAATCTACTATAGCCAGCACTTTGAAGTTACATTAACAGGAAAATTCGACTACTTGTTGTAGAAATACCAAAGAATAAAAGGACGAGTGAACTAACTCTAGTGTACTGAGGCTATTGTTGTTAATTTTGCAATTTAATTTTGCAATTTATAAATAAAGCAACAACAGGAAAAGAGCTTGTTTTGCAAGGTCATATAGGCAAGTAAACATAAAAAGGCTCAAGCGAATGCACAGAGTAAAATGGAAGACATTAATTATGTAAACAGCTGACTAAAATACATTGATACTCATATTTTAATTGTCTTGTAGTGATGACTCTCATTACAGATCACACTAAGGACTCATGATCTCTTTCCAGTTCCACTGCCTCTTATTGTTATTGCTCAGTGTGGGTTCAAAGTCCGTCTCGATGAACGTTAATGGATAGGGGAGTTATCCGGTTCATCTTTAGTTTCCTAGTGAATTCCAGAATGATTCAAGAGACGTATATATAAGCAGCAGCGAGAGAATCTCTGTTGAATACGCCGTCACACCAACATCTCACAGTATAGTAATCATCAGTAGTGTTTCTGTTAATGGTGATTGTATTGGTTCATGTGGTAAGCATCCTTACACAACAAGAGAGTAGAACAGATGTGTAATCAAAACAACGCAATTTAACAGTTCTCTGTGTTCTGCCATTCCACTTCAGATAAATATTTCCAGTGTCTCTGAGCAGTAGTGAGAGAAACTGACGCGAATAAATCATTCCACCCAGTCCCACGGTATATCGGTCATTCGTGCTGACTCCATTACAAGTGGATGAATATATTTTAAAGGCTATTGGAGTCAAACCATATACAAACCTACAGAAGGCAAGGGAAAACCACCGCTGTATTATCCCTACGAAATTATACCTCAAAACCTAACGAATTCAGATAATGGGGATTTCAGTAGAATCAACTCGTCCGGTAGGGAGCATCATGTTCTACGGGTGATACCAGACCGTCATACGGCTACTGTAGAAAAAAGTTAATGGTAGAAACATCCTGAACGGTGCATGGTATGGAGGTCAGTCAGTACTCGAACTGATACATGCTGCAGGAGATCGCGGATTGTAGAGAGGCATGATCGCCCACGCCAGTCAAGGCACTTGATGATGATGATGACACATATTTATGACGCATATACAAAAAGAGTAAAGCAGCGTTGTATATATCAATACCGTACTGCATAACAGTCTGCGTCTGTGGCTTAGGCGTTGCGAGCGCGCCTTGTAAGTCGGAGTGCCGGGTTCGATCCAGCTGCAGACGATTAGTCTTGCGTTGGTTTCAAGCTGCCCGTTCAGTGGCAATGGCAAACTACTGTTTGTGAAATTCGCTAAGATAAAAACCACAACAGCCAAAAAATGCTGGGGTTGGTTCTGCAACGTCTTGTAAGGGATACGCAGCTAAGTGTATAATAATTCTTCTTGCACCAGCACGCGGTGTAGTTGCTAGAACCTCTCTTGCGGATCAGAAGGGCGTGGTTCGAATCCGAAGCGAGTCAGACCCTTTTTTTTAATTAAAAATTAACTTGGCTTCCGGGTTGACCCAGCATTTAATTGGTAACAAAACAGTCATGGGAAGTAAAGGGTGCGGGCGTAACGTTGACCAAATCACCCACATAGTGCCGATTGATCCACATAAAATATACTTCTTAACTTTACCAGCATATATCAGATGGATAAGTAAAGTAAATGTCCCTTTTCCGCGCCATTAGGCGTATTGAGCAAAGATATAAAACCGAACGAAAAGTATATTAGCAAGCTTCAAAATACAACAAATACAAACAAAACGTGAACGTTGCGGCTATGGAGCGTTCATCAGCACATTCAAATCAAACAATACTACACAAATATACACAATTACTTAGCTGGTATTTCGAAGCAGCCGGGTCGATCTTTTCCCGCAAACGTAGGCGTGTTTGGAATATGGGGCTAGACCTTTATTTTATAGACCAATCAGCACTTGGTAAGTGATGACGACCGCCTTTACTTACCAGGACTGCACCTGGTACCCACTCAAGGCTGGGTCGACCTGGGAGTCATGGGGCATTTTTTTTTTAAGTCCGGCTCTGTCAGGACGCTAACCTTCGACCTTCCGATAGATAAATAAGGGCGCAGTTAAATTTAAAATTATTGTTAGGATATAATGTGAAAAGTTAACACAAAAATCGTACAACGTTATTAGGTTTATGACTAAGGTCCATGGGCGACCAGTGAAAATTAGAATTATCAACTCCCTGGAGATTCCAAACTGAAAAAAAAAAAAAAAAGAGGTAAAGAATACCAGGACGAACGAAAATAATTCCGCCACATACTTAAGATATTTTTAGCCTCTTCTACTGCGTTAGATGTCAATGCAGTTTGGTCAAACATAAGGCGGTGCCTTCAATGTCGTCACCGGTCCCTTTACAGCTTTTATTGTAGTATAGCTTCGTTTAGCCAGATTCACAGCCGCTGCGTGAGTATTTAGGGTAATCATGAATGTTCAGAAGTCTGTCTGCTTCTCATTCGCAGGTGGCAAATTCCTTAAAGCTACTTTTGTGTAGATGTACTACTACCACAGTGTCCTTCTGAAGCATTAAAAAGTGTTGTTTGTTCGGTCCTATAAAGTTCGTTTATGTTTTGACTCTCTGATCCTAGTTAGTCGATATAAGCCAATTTCGCATAATTCGGCCCTGCTGTTTACGCCTGCAAATCTGGCCCATAATACTTTTTTTTTTTTTTTTAAATGTCTGTTCTACAGGAACATGGGAGCCTGGCACAATGGGCAAGAGATTTGGTACACTCACACATCGTCAACAAGATCTCATTGCCCTTCTGGAAAAAGCCGTCAGGGAAACATATGCCCAAGCGTGAGGTTAGTGTAGCTCCAGAGATCACAGCATTAGAAGTGTGATGATGGGTGCATTGGTCTCGAAAGATTGATGAATTTAGGACTTAAAGAGAGATGGAAAGACATGTATGGGACACGTACTGGAAAAGGAAAAGATGATAACTTAATTATATATGTGGAAAAGAAACTAGAAAAAAACTGGGGGGGGGGGAATAGATGGTTAAGATAGATTTGGGAATGAAACTTGAAAACAAATGGTAGCTGAAAGATAGAGGCGCGAGAGAAAGTGGAAGATGTGGATAGATGCTGAAATTAAAATGTGATAGATTATCTATCTGGACGTGGAATGGAAGATTGTTGAAACACAGAGGTGAGAGATCTACAGAACGAGTGGTATGCGTATTGGAATGTGGGCTGAGGAATGAGTCTAGAAAAGGAATATATCAGTTGCAAAATAAAAGTATGAAAGAATGTATGAGAGGAATGGATCAAAATTAAAGTAATGATGTGAACAGAAACAGAATGAGGAATGGAAGGGTAATAAAAGATGGACGTGGGAGATAATGTGGAAAAAAAAGAGGGGCGGGGAGGGTTGATATTAAAAATAAATGTTGGAGGGAAACTGGAAAACAGATAGATGGTAAATAAAAGATAGCTGTGGGATAGAAACTGGAGATAGGTTGTAACTGAAAGATAGATATGGGACAGAAACTGAAAGAGGGGTTCGACTGGAGTTGACCATTTTATATGTATATGCTAGGAACGGAACAGTAAGAGGCAAGGATGGGTGTTAGAAGACATTTGTGTTATAGGAACATTAAGAGCCAGGGATAGTTATTGGTAGGCATGTGGGTTATAGGAACAGTAAGAGAAAGGGATGGGTGCTGGTAGACATGTGTATGATATAAACTAGAAGTTAGATAGTGTGAGACAGGAGTAGTATTGTCATAACAAAAGATTAAAAAAAGAAACCGTGATTACTAAATTTCAGTAAACATTTACAATATTTCAAGTCGACCCAGCCTAAAATGGGTACCAGGGTGTATGTCCTAGGGAAGTAAAGACGACCGATGTAATGCTGACCACATTACCTACCTAGTGCCGATTGGTTTTTAAAAATATGCGTGCTCTTACCATATGCCCGATGCGCCTAAAGGCGTGAAAAGGGATCCTAACTTTTATATATTAAAAAAGATGAGGAATATGAGCCAAGAATAATGATGATAATGATGATGAATAATGATTAGGATGATATTTGGTACACAAAAAAGATTTCTGCATATATACATGTAATACCTTGTAACTATATTTCCTTTTCAGCCTATGTGAGCGTGACAATAAGATCAGATCTACAGAGAACGTTTATGTAGTAGGACAACTCAATTGGTTTTTAAATTTAATGTCAAGAACACAGGAAGCAATTTTAGCCTGACAGTTTGATGTCTTTAGATCTTTTTTGCAGATTTATTCAAGTTTCTCCTGGCTGATATACTGCGTCCCACGTGTCAGAACATTGATAGTTAACACAATTATACCATTAGACTGTAAAATTGAATACTATGTTAAAATTGCTATCGCATCAACGATCGCTGTATCAGCTATTCCTTTCATGATAGTTTAAATATTTTAGCCTCACGTTTTTTATTTTCTAAATTACTATAAAATATAATCTAGTTATCTAATTGTGGCATGCAATTTTTCATTATTTCGAAACCCCACCCTGGCTCTTGCCAGAGGCCGCAAAATAGCCCGGCCATAAATATGGTCTAATGGCCGAGTGCGGTTTCCAGGACCTCTCCACGGGTGATCCTCACCCACATGGTGGCACTTTGTGTCATCGGGTGTTTATCGCTTGTGTGATGTCCTGGTCGGGTAAAATGTTCTACTACTATACTCTACTGCTGAACAAATTAAGAAGAATTTGGAAGCAACAGAGATGTGGTTTCTGAGAGACGAATGTTACGAATACCTTGGACAGCTAGAGTAACTAACAACGATTGCTTGAAAGAAGCTAATTAAAGTAGATCTTTATATTCAACAATAGGAAAAAGACAAACACTGTTCTTTGGCCACATAATGAGAAGAGAGACATTTGAGAACATCGTGACCACTAGAAAAAGAGGTAGAAGCAGACCAAGAGAGAGGATGCTGGATGGGCTGAAACGATGGCTTGGAGGGATATCATCAAAAGAGCTGTTCCAGTCAACTAGGGATCGTGATTTGTGGAGACGCATGATCGCCTACGCCAGTAGGCAGGGCACATGATAACGATGATGTCTATACAATATAAATATACCTGTCATCTCGTCATTCCCTTGTGGAATGCAATTTTTAGCTATTTTGAAGCCCCACCCTGGCTTTTTTCGGCGGCCTTATATATAGCCGGGCCTGAAATATGACCTAACGGCTGAACAGGGTTTCCAGGTTCCCTTCACGGATTATTCTCATCCGCATGGTGGCACTTTGTGTCACTAGGTGTTTATCGCTTGTGGGATGTCCTGGTGGGGGTACAATTACCTACCTACCTATACAATACAGCTATTTTTATTCATTTTGTCACTAAGCGTGTTATCTCTGCCTCCTTCTAATAATTTATTATTGTTTACAAGGCCGTGAGGTACATTTCCTCAGTTTGATACAAGTCTTCAAAATGGTGACCATCGAATGTTGAAACTGTATTTAGATTTTGCTGCTTATGCCGCCCCCTTACGGTGTTGCCTAATGCGGCTTCTTGATTGTATCATAGCACGGCACGGCCCTAATTTGTTGATATGTTGCTTCATTCGTGTTTATTTCACTGGGTCCCTCACCCCCCCCCCCCCCCCTCTCCCAGGATTTTCTAAATTTACAGAAACGTTTTAGATAACAAACAAGCGAATCAACAGTAATACAGGTTAACAAATAATTTATAAAAGAAAAGAAGTCTTTGAATTGCGTAGTAAACCTGAACAAAGGACGACGGTACTGTTCCGGTACAGTAAACAAATAAACATACAACTCACATTACCAATTCGAAACAAAAGTAAAGAAAGCAAAGAGAAGGGCTAACACTCAAACTCAGGAAGTCTTGATCTGATTTTATTTAGTCGTAGGCAATGCCCACATCATCAGCATCTCCAAGTTTAAAAAAATATAAAATAGTTTACTTTCCCCTTTAAAAAAAATACCCTGCATTCATGGCTATAAACTGATGGATTCTGAATTAAATTAGCATTCAAAAGACCGGTAAAAACATTTTTTTAAAAACATAATAAATAAAAAATAACTGCTTTTCAGCCCAGACACGTTATATGGCCAGTGAAACAAGCGGGCCCTATGTGTACCCTTCTTGGATGCTGAACGGGGTATCTGGGCATGCACTGTTGGCCTGCCCACAACACTTAGAGTCTTTAGTCTCACAGCATCAAAACTTTCAGGTCTCGTCAGTCTGCCATACGGATTGAGATCTTCTGATTTTGGGGAGTCAAACCTTTCAGCTAGCAGCCTGCCTAGAGGGGATAAACGGCATACAAGCACGCAGGCAATCTAGTAATTTTAATAATAATATCATAGTTAAAATATGTAGTACTAGTCTGGGCAGTGATATAAGTCCCCTAGTCTTGTTGTTGTAACAGTAGTAGCAGATTGTTTAGAAAATATCTGATAAAGTGTTTGCCACAAGTTCAGGACCACTCAATATGTCCTTGATATTCTCCCTACTGTTAAGAAGTATTGCACTAACTGATAGTTTAGGACAGAAAGATTACTGTACTTACTGCGTTTAGCTGGACCAAAGACAACAGTGCATGCCATAACAAATAACCGTACGGAAAAATATGTTATTTACTAGACTGACATAAACGTTAAGCCATCACTGTTATACAAAGTTAGGTCCTGGATTTTTAAAACTGTAATACTAGTAGAAGCATATAGACAATGCATATTTGACACTCGACTGGAAATTAGACACTACAGAGCTTTGTCCTGTTGTCCAGTTGTATAGTTTATATAAGCGAAATAACGTGCAGAACATATCTGATACTAGTTTGTATGTGAGATGGTGCGAAGACTAAGCCCCTATGGTCTAGTAATTGTAATAGTTGTATTAGATTCTACACAACATACTTATATTTGAAACTAGTTTTGGGTAATGGATGTGAAACCGTACAGGCTAAAGTCCCGTAGTCTAGTAACTGAAATAGTTGTATAAAATTGTAAACAATATATATATATGTATATGTTATATATATATATATATATATATATATATATATATATATATATATATATATATATATATATATATATATGCAACTAATCTGGATAAGATATTTTAGAGCTAAGCTTTGTAATTTTACAATTGCAGTAGAGATGTCATAATGTAAGGAATTTGTATGATACAAGTTGTGGATAGGAAACGGTACACACTAAAGTTTCATAGTTTAGAAATTGTACTACTAGTAGCAGAATGTAAACAAATGTTTATGTTACCACATGCCACTGTACTTGTATAATAGCAGCAAGTAAACATGAGTGGATTCAACAGAATTGTGTTGTTTTGTTGTATCTTGTCTGATCAGAGGTTCTCAAACCATTGTGTTCAAAACCAGAACTATCATCTTGCAAGGCACACTCGCCATCACCATGGGCTGTGAGTCCTATGCTTCCCCATAGCACAATATAACACTATCGTCTGGAAAGATTGAAAGGTGCCAGTGATAAACGATTGCATTTGTTTGTGACTTTCTTTTTATAAATGGTAATTGTGTTGTTGTTTTTTTTTAAGTTCCAGAAAAAGACAATAACCAGAAACAAAGCAATGAAATGTGTGTTCTGTGCGTGTGTGTGTGTGTGTGTGTGTGTGTGTGTGTGTGTGTGTGCATAATTAACTTTCAGTCAGGCATAACCAAGCAAAAAAAAACAAATATTTTTGCAAATATTTTATAAAATTATATTTTGTTTACAGCGCATGCAATAGGCAATTTAATAACCTAATAAAATATAATTATACAGTTTAATGGACACAAGAGATTAATTTATTCTC